TCTGCTATAGGAAGGAGGCACTGGCAAACCACTTCCGAAAAACAATTGCCTTGAAAACTGCAAGGACTCGTCCAAAGCAGTCACCGTAGAGTCGGTAACAACTGAACACAGATTAAAAAAAAAAAAAAAACTCCACAAATGGAGGAAGAATATTGTTCACCGATCTACATAGAATTATCTTGAAAGGGCTCCACTAATACCCATAATCTGTTCTTAGGAACAGAGATCGTAGGAAAGAAATCGAGGGTTTTGTTTTGGGGATTTCAGGCACTTAAACCTCTCCCAGTCGGAGGAAACAGAAGGTCACATCCAATACTAGGGAAGTGAACTCTCAGTTCTGCCACAAGTTTCCCTTCCCCTTCTCTTTTCGGCAGATCTGCCTAAATCTGCTCCGGGTGAACAGTTAACCCAGAGGGTGGGTTCTGGAAGCACAGAACGGGCTGAAAAAGAGAAGAGGAATTTGATCTGCCAGTGCATTTCATTCTCCTGGAAGAAATAATTATCTACATTTTCTCAAAAATGGCATCAAAAGAGAAACCTTTTAAAATCAGGGCATAAATGCTACTGTGGCTTTGGTCAAGTATTTTTGTAAATGTAAAATGGGGAAAAAAATTCCCCCAGGGGATGAATAAAGATGTAAGCTGCTATGAGTGAGCAAGTGGGGGTCTTCAGTGTGTATGCGTGACTACATATGTAAACCCTATCTGAATCACAGGATCTATTTTCAAATTTGAAACAGTTGTTTGAGTTTGAAATAGCTCCACAAAAAGTGTTCAAAGGCCAAAATACTTTGGGAATGCTAAGATCAGCCCTTTTGGAACATGAAACAACTGTTCTGGGTTTGAAATATTTCAAATTCAAAAATTTACACATGCATACCCAACACCTTAAATGGCTCGATCAGAAAAAGAAAAAAACAAGTTTATGGAAACGATGAGGAACAACCAAACAACTAATCAAACCTAAAGTAAGAGAACCCTTTGGGACTCAAAGGTATATCAGGTAGTCTTCAGTTAACAACCATTCATTCAGTGACCGTTTGAACTTACAACAGTGCTGAACGAGGGGAACTTACGATGGTCATTTTTGTGATTATTGCCATTAAGCATGCACTATGCATTATACAAGGAGATCATTGCTGGACTGCCTGGGAGGGAGGAATACAAGAAGGGGGTGAGAGGGGTGTCCCAAAATATGAAAAGCCTGATTTTGGGGTTGTGGGGGAGACTTAAAGATGTATTGCTGCTTTTCTTTGCCAGGGCGGAAGCAGCTCTCAACAGCTCCTTAGATCAGCTTCTCTTCCTATCTCAGGCCAGTCCAAAGCTGGGCTCAATCGTGTACGTACGTTATCAAAATAGCAGTCGTAGCCCTTGGGAGACGCCTCTCTCAGGGCCTGGTCCAGGGATCTCACCGTCTTGTAGTTAAAGGCTTCGTCAAAGCCAAGCTGCTTAAGGTAAGCCACCTTCTTACTGGAACCTGCAGTGCCGACCACTCTACAGCCCTGCCAGTTGAAAAGCAGTGATAAAGCTCAGGTGCCTTTGCAAGGCTCTGCGCTTCTCTATGAAGCATTTTCAACAGAGAGAGATGAGAGGCAGGCAGAGATAGAGAGAGACAGAGATAGCGAGCGAGAGAGAGAGATGATAGATAGACCAATAGATGATAGAGATGTTTGATATCTCTATCTATCAGATATCTCTATCATAGAGATAGATAATGATGATGATGATGATGATGATGATGATGATAGATAGACCGATAGAGAGATGTTTGATAGAGATATCTGATAATAGAGATATCTGATATAGATAGATGATAGATAGACAGATGAGAGATATAGATGAGAGACAAACAGACAGATACTTTATTACAGCATGGACTCAACTCAAAAAGGATGCGATAGCAAGTAAAAACCAAAGTAAAACCCAAGAATTATAAATCTGGTGTGGTCAAGGTGTGACATATCTTACATACAGTAAAACAAAAAGCCACATTAGGAGAAATAAAATCCCATTGATCAGATAGTAGCAACTGTAAATAAAATGGGACTGGGTGGCCTGAAGATCTGATGAAGTGTTATTAACTGCAACTGAACATCTTTGTAATGGGGCATTTGAAAAGATACAATCGTCTGAGTACGAGCATCTCTGGGAGGGTGTCAAAAACCACTGGCAGCCCTGCCCCTTTTCACCTAGGTCAAAGGGTGGGGCTTGAATTGTGCAGTTGCAGCCTCTATCCCGAGGATCAAAAGATAGTGCCAGAAGATAGTGTCATTTTTAATTTACAGCATTTGCTTATCTTCAGAGTATAACAAGTTCCTCCATCTCCTGATGGACAGGTTCAAACAAGCTTATGTCAGCAGTGAGACTATATCACATGGTTTCCTCCTGGGTGAAGCGGATACTGCTAGTGACTCCAATCCCCTTCCCTCCCTGCAGCTCCTGAATCTGCAAGGGGGGCTGAGGGAGCCACCCAAAAGGATGTTGTGGGATTGAAGGAGGGAGAAGAGGAGAAGAAGAGGAACTCCCTGTTGTGCTAGGCCAGATTTGCTCAGATAGCACTGGCTTTATCAATGCAATCTATTTATTTGCTGGTGGGCAAATTCAGAATTTTGGAGCCTGACATTGGTGCAATCACAAAGTAGTTGCCACTGAGACTTCCCTATTCATCATAGCTACCCCACTCCATGTCTAATCGCCAGTAACCTGAATAATCTCTTCCTTCCTGGTTTCTAGAAAATCTGTGGAGGCTTGGATGTTTTTCATTGGCCTCAGGAGGGCTGGAGGGCTGCGACTATTCCTCCAAACGATGGATTTGTTTTATTTGTATCTGGCAAGTTAATTCCCGGTTTTGATATGGTTCTCTTCCAGTGTATAGTTTTAGTTTTAATCTCGATTATTTCTATATCTGTTTTTAACCCAATTTACAGATGTAGGGAGCTGAATGCTGCTTAGAGTCAGTTGACTGGAGCAACCTGTAAGTCTTGTAAATAAAAAAAAATACATAACCACAAAATGCCCCTTTACCAGAAGACAACCTTCCCTCCTATCGAGCCTCCAGGATGTTGTCTGCCACTTCAGCTTACCTTTGCATTTTTCTCTGCTTCTTGTATAGGTGAGCCCATTTTCAAATAAATGCTTTGCTGCAGCCACCAACCATAATTAGTGTTAATGATAATACCTATAGGCTTTATGTGATACTGGGAGGCATTTTGGTAAGGAAAGGAAGAGGATCCTAGACGCAGGAGCCTTCCCTTGCAGGACACCAGCTCCCAATTAAAGTTTCCCATGCTAAAATAAGGTTTAAAAATCAGGCATCTTGGAGAGACAAGGAGATGCCAATGAAGATGCCTCTGGGCGTTCAGTCGCCACACGAGAGAGGTTCTCTCCATCTCGTTCTCTCACCCAAGCAGGTGGGGAAACCAAAGGAAAACATTATGCCAGGGAAAGGAAAAGGCAGTTTCTGCCTCTCGGCAAGGAACAGCAAGGCTTGTTGTAATTCAATATTTGAAGACTCTATCATGGCACTTAAAAGAATAGCACATTTCTTTATGGAAGAAGCTTCCAGCTAGTGTAATTACTTAGATGCAGATACTATGAAACAGAAAGAGCCCACTGTTTTATATTTTGCCCCCTATAAGTCCATCTATTTTCATGGGTGTCTATAATACATTAAGGGTCCATAAAGACACAGCAAAATGAAACCTATTTGCCCACGGTAGCAAAACACACCAGAGTCGTGTGGCATAAAAGTACTTTAATAGTGTCAGCAGGGACATCTGTCTCTATGGAGAGACTCACCTAAAAGATGCTATGAAAGAGGAAAAGTTCTACCTGTTAAGATCAAGAGTGTGTTGAACATGGATTTACAAATGACAGGCTACGAGAATGACATGGAAAAAGGTGTTACACTGGACATATAAAAGAAACCAGCTGATGTCTTAATAATTAAAAGGGATATACAAATAACAAGCCAAGAGAATGACCTGGATAATTTTCCTATATTGGATTTACAAAAGAAGCTTGTTAAAGCTTTGAAGAATTTTGTGAGAAGGCACAAAGAAAAAATGAAAAGAAATCAAGTTCTAGGACATTATTTGAACGGACTAGAGATCAATATTGTTAGAAGTAAAAGGATGGAATATGAAGTTGGTTTATTTGACCAAAGTCAAAATAAATCTGTTGTTATCTCTGGTAACCCTTAATGTTACATTTAATGTTACATTACATTTGCTGACATCAGGACTGAAATGATGGGGTTTTATGGATTTGTTTATAGATAAGAGATGGGATATAGGAAGAAGAGATCATTTGGTGCATTTAAGAGAAGGTGATAAGTTATTAAAATTGTTTATACTTGTGATGAAGGGGGAAGTCATTTCTTTATATATTTCTTTTTCTTTACCATATTCTTTTTCTTTCTTTCCTTTCTATTTTCTCTCTCTTTCTTTTCCTGCACCTTCTATTTTTTTATTTTTAAAAATTTTTTAGTTTGCATTATTGCTCTAAATTGTAACTTTTAGTAAAATTACTATTTAAAAAAGAGAACTTTTCTGGATGTAAGGAATGAACATAAATCATAGGCATCCTATAGAAGCCACAGTGATATCCCAACAATTTTATAGAAATGATGGGAATAATGTAGTTGGCATCAGTCACATCATAATGTTATGATGTAAAAGTACGATGTGTAGTTTGTATCATTGGAGTGATGCTATCATGATGTGTGTGACATCATGTATCATGTTCCCCCCATGACTAAATGGCCATGTTGTGAATGTGGTTATTATGTGGCTATTATGCAGAACCTTCTCGGTAGCATCAGTCAAGGGATATGTAGGTATATAGTCCACAGACAAGCAAACCAGAGCTTCCACAATTCTGGTCAGGCTGATGGAAGTTGAAGTCCAAAATATTTTATGACCACTTACCTTAAGTTTAGCAATCTGCCCAGCCACACTGCCCACAGCACCTGCTGCCGAATTAATCAGGATGGTCTCTCCTGGTTTGATCTTGAGGATCTCAGTTAGGCCAAAGTAGGCAGTAAGACTGCAGGAAAGAGGAATTAGAAGTTTGTTCAAATAAAAACTGACACCATGACACGTCCAGAATATAACATCAAATAAGACTGAAATAGGAACATTCACACAGAGAATGTGTTTAAAAGCACCACAGAATAGGGCAGGATTCCTCAATTTTGGGGGCTAGTAAGTAAATTGGGAATTTAGAAGGAATATTATGTATTCTTTCATTCATTCATTCAATTTGTATCCTTCCTACATGATACAATATACTAGAAAATTTTAAAACATCTTCTGTAAGACTTCAAATGTACCAAACAATTTAAAAACTACCAAGGGGAATGACCCCCTCTCAAAAAAACCCCAAATAAAAATAAAAGATGAAGATGGCTGAGATTAACTAAGATGAACTAGAACACTCTCTGGAACAGCCTGGTTTTAAGCATCCACCTGAATATATCAGCCAAGTATTAGCCAGGATCCGTATTAGTGATTGTTATTGTTACTATTTATTGTGGTTTTTGTGGAGATTGTTTTTGTAAGCTGCATTATTCAAGTTGGGCAGCTATATCAATTCAAAATAAAATAAAATAAAATAAAATAAAATAAAAAATAAAAAAATAAAATAAAATAAAATAAAATAAAATAAAATAAAATAAAATAAAATAAAATAAAATAAAATACATAAAAGATGGGGTCAGTCTTATCTCTACTAGGAAACTATTCCATAGAACAGGTGCTGCCACTGAAAACAGTGGCTCCTATAATGAGGACATTCATGAATGGCTGTTGCAGGGAAGGCCAGTCACAAATAGCTCATTATCAGAAAGCACCCTATCTCCCCTCTCAGATGCCCTCTACCACCTCAGCTTATGTCTGCTACTCTCTCGGCAGGTGGGTCCACTTCCAAGCAAAGAACTAGAATGCAGCCCCATATAATTTTATTTTCTAAAGGCCTTTCTCAATTGGCACCTAATCCTGACACAAATGTGTCCTAGCAAGATATTCTTGCTGCTGTGGCCCCAAGGCATCACCTTAATTTTGGCCCCAGCCTCACAGTAAGCTAGACTTAAGTCACATGTAGCTGTTCCAGCTTTACATTAGTGTTTTCCTCCTTTCTGCTGGCAGCAACCCAAAAGTATTTCAACGTGTGTGAAATCTGAGATGATCTGCCATTTCTTCTGTAGGTGGCACAGTTGAGTGACCCGTAGGGGGAGATACGAGCAGTCAGCCTCATATCCTTTGTCCACTTTGGGCTGATGTGGCCCCATCATCTCCTTGTGTCCCAGGTACTATCCTCTGCCGCTCATTTTTCTTCCCTTCAAGGGGAAAAACAGACAAAACTGCTACAACAATCAAAGGGTCTGGGGGAGCTGCACAGTGAAGCAGGAGAGCTGGCTTTCTCAGGGTGCTGGCAATCAGCTGCTGGGTGATTTTGCTTTGGCAGAGGCTGAACACTTTTTCAGAAGATCAGCCAAGATGATCATCAGCCTGTGGAAGCTGCACTGTAAAGACCCTCTCCCCCTTTACTGGCAGCTCCAGTAACCTGGGGGTCAGCTGTTCCTTAAGCTAGGGAGGCACTGGCTTTAACAGAGGGCTAAACCTACCAGTCTACCCATCTGTCAAAACCATTCGCCCATCCAGGCAGGGCTGCAATTGGCAGAGGGCTTCCCACCAGCTGGCCATATTCTGAAAGTGGGAAAGCTGAAAAATCAGTGGGTTTAATCAAGGGCTTTGCCTAGCACACATAATCAGGAAAAGACAGCACCAGGTGGTGCAAAGCCAGAACAATGGCCATCGAGTCAATTGAGGGATCAGCAGTGGGGACAGCAACTTTGACGCCAGTATAGTTTTTTCTGTTAGCTCAAGATGAGATGGACAGCACTTTAACTGAGCCAGGCAGAAAGGTCCTCAGGATTTGGAAATAAAGGGATGTTTGAGGCTGGCATTTTCTTCTTCAACATTGTAGTTGTTTTGTTTAATTTGGTTATAACATACAGATGGATCAATGGAAACATATGTGGCTGAAAGGACTAAAATTCACATTATGTTATAATTTAAAAGAGAATTTTTAAAAATGATGTACCGTTGGTATATGACACCAGAAAAACTTCCTAGAATGTATAAAGGTACTTCAAATCTATGTTGGAAATATGGAAAACATGAAAGGTCATTTTATCATGCTTGGTGGACATGCAAAAAGGTTAGAAAATTTTGGGTTCAAATACACATAGTGATATAAAAAAAATAAAAAATTAATATTCAACTGAAACCCGAACTTTTCTTGCTGACTAATGGACAAACAACTAGAAAAGACTTATGGACATCCATTTTTATGCACGGTAACTGCTGAGATTTTTATACTGTATGCACAAAGATGGAAAGACTCTGAAATACCCACAATGGAGGAATGGTTGGCAAAGAAGACATAATTTGCAGAGATGGCAAAATTGACTAGTTTGATTAGGGGAAAAGACAATAACTACATTTGTTAATGACTGGAAACCCTTTATGGGCTTTTTGCTGAAAACAGAAAAAAATGAACTTGTGATTCATGGGTCTGATGATTAGAAAGGGTAGAAAAAGGAGAGAAGGGAGCTATGATGGAACCTTAGAGAGAGAGAGGATAAAATATAAATGCATTTATAACTGCTGTAAAGAAGATCGGAAGCCACTATATCTTTCTTTCTTTTTCTCTTTCTTTCTTCTGTATTTTTCTTTCATTTCTTTTCTATTTACTTAAAACTTTTCTTTTACTTTACTTTCTTTTTTCTTTAAATGTGTATTGTTTTTACTTTGCAAAAAACTTCTTTAATAAACATTAATTTTAAAAAAGAAGATAAAAAATAAATGCGTTCAGGTGGGCCCCTGACATCTGTGGACGTGCTGCTGTTCATGGGCCCCACACTGGCATCAGGAAATGAAGAATTCGGCCTGACATCTTCTGAATACTCCTTACATCCATTTCCCAGGTAAAAAGTATTTTTCCCATAGGCTCCCCGATCACGGAGCCATCAGTAATCGGTTTTAGGGCCTAGCAGTGCCACGCACAGCTCAAGTGCCACATAGCAGAATTCAAAGATGATTGGGCCACAATCCATCACATCATGTCCGTCAAGTACATCATTAGGATAAACTCACCCTGGCATGCCAATTGTCCCAAGAGCCAATGACCTTGGAAGATTTCTTGGCCAGCCTGGAGGCATCAGCAATAGGTCCTTGCCGTTGGAAATAAAATGAGTCGTCCAGCCTGCAGTTGCCACAACAAACACCCCTACAGGATATGAAGGGTTTCTGCTTTCCAAAACCCTTTAAAAAGAACACAGATACATAGTCGCACTAGTCAACAAAGTTATTCCATGTACTGCAAACAACCAGTTGTTAACAATTCTTTCTAAACATCTATCAAGGAGCAGTGTAACCCATAATCTGGCACTAAATTGTTGCAGGGAATTCTTACGATGAGATGCTATGAGACCTTTCTAGGCATATTTCGAAGCATTGATATTACTCTATAAAGCCCTAAGTGGCTTTGGCCCAAGGTATCCAAAGCAGCGTTTCCTTCCATCATTTGAGGAGAGGAGGCCCCAAGATGAGAAGCCCGTCTGCCCCCGCGTTACGGTATTTTCAAGACCAGTGGAAGAACTTCACATGCTTTCAAAAACTGATTTTACCATTTTTATTTTGCTGAGAGCCTTCTTTCTTCTGAATCTTTTCTTAATGCTTATTCAGCTATTCTTGGAAGAGCACCGGGGATACATCTTGCTTTACTGTCAGATCCATCTGAATATTCTTAATTATGCATTTGGTTTCTTCAATTTCAGACAAGGCTGGGCAGTCTATCAAACTGGCAGGTCTTGCTGACTGTGTATTATTTACTATTCATTATTTTGTAGCCTTGTTATCAGGACCTTGTGCAATCTCTTTGATAGTTAATTCAGCCAACATTTGTTTCCAAGAGAAAACAGAAACAAATGTGGGTGTTGTTTTTATTTCTCATTTTATTTGTCCATTGCCCAACCTTAACTTCAGCTGTAAGAAAGGAAGACCAGCAGTTGGTGGAACAGAAAATAAATCAAAGCAGATCTTACTTTGCAACCTGAGACCCTAGTATAATGTCCCCTTCCTTCAACTTGGTCTTACTGTATAATCTGCAAAACAAAAACAAAAACAAAGCAAAAATAAGGTAGACTTTTCAGAAAATGCCTTTATAGAAATGGGGCCAATTAATTCTGACTAAGGGTGCAATCCAAGAGACTGAGTTTGCTCAAGGGGATTTAACTGAGGCCATGACCGACAGGCCTCATTCACTATAGGCCAGGGGGACATCAATGTAAGTGAGTCAAAGTAATTTCACAGTGGAATGCAGGCCAGAGTCTGCCTTTTATTACATGTTTTGTACCTAGTCGTGGCAGCAACGACTACTTTGATCTGCATCATAAACTACTTCTTACGACAACTTTTATTTTGGGTCATACGAAAGTACATAATTAGACATTTATACAAATTACAATGAATTCAGATTTGGAGAGGGAGCTACTGTTTCAGGAAAAAATGCATGTACCAATTTGTGCAACATCAACAGACTTGGGGCACATACAAATAACTGGTTAAATGTTCTATCCTCCAGTCCACAAACGTATGCCAGCATACTTTGTTTTGGCTAAATAGCGAGAACAGCAGGCTTAGCCATCTGTTAGATCTTGAAATAATAGCATTGCTTTAGTTTGCTCGTGGCTTCTCTAGCGATAGCAAGTAGACCAGAATCTCTCTAAACAGTAGATCAGGACATCAGATGCTGGTGTACCATGCAGAGAGGGGCTGGTCAAACTGTACTGTAGAGAGGTCTACTTTATACTTAATGATGATGGCTTACTTTCTACTGCTAGAAAAAGCAACAGATCAAGGCCTATCTAAAGGGGTTAGCTTGTCAGACCAAGGTAGGACAAAGGGACTTGCTTATTTGGTCTTTGTCTCTAAACAATTCTAGCAGGAAGGTCACTGTACAAAAAGTCTTGGGCTTCCACTTTCCCTAGAATTCTGGGTGGCGTTGCTCCCTTTGTGATATTATGTCATTCCAGCACCACAAACCATAAGGCTGAGTCGGAGGGGAGGGGAGTTTGTAGCAAACAAAGAAGAGGGGGGCATGCCTCTAACAGCCCAAAACAGCCAACAGGAGCTGGACAGATCCCAGCCCCTGGTCTATAGCAAGCCTTGTGTTGGGAGAAGATGCAAAACACCACTTCCACATTGTAGAGAAAAACTTGAAGTTCGCCAGCCTTAATTATGGGCTGGGAAAGAGAGGAGGGCTCCGTCACGTGGATGTGCCCATAAGGAAGAATCAGTGAGGCATCTTCAGGCCAAAATTAAGAGGATGTATATACCATCCTCTGCTAGATAAAAGGCTGTTAAGAGATGGCCAGATTACAATTAATTTAGAAATTGGGAGAAAAGCCCAATGGTCAAAATAAACTGGGTTTTTAGAAGTGAAACACAAAGTTGGACAAAGAGTAGTACCTTATATAGGGGTCAACACTGAGAAACACACTTTCAAGCAGCACCTCTGAAATACAGAAGAAAAGAAGATGAAGGATCCAGCGGATGCACTACTGGAGAAAGAACCATCATTTGATAATTTTCTATTTTCTTGAAAGAAAACCATGGAGGAAAATGGGAGGAGTGCATTGTCTGGAAATGCAATCTATGTGCGTGAGAGAAGGTGTTTACGGTTCCTTTATCCCATGCTGTTTTACCAATTATACAAAATGCATTGTTTTTATACTATTTTTCTTATTGTTCTTATTGTTATATGCCTTAAGAAGAAATAAGGAAGAAATAGCAATAAATAAATTATACCAATAAAGAGGTGGGAATAGCAGGGAATACAAAATTCAAAATATTATTGGAGGGATGGGGTGGGGAGCAAAATTATTATACCTAGAAATTTTGGACTGGGAAGAATAAATGAAGTACGTCCCACAGCAGTATTTTCAGCTAAGTTGTCGGATGTTTGTCTCAGTGAATTTTTCTGGCCAAATTGTGCAAGATAAGTCACTTCCTGATTCTCTTTTGCTCAACTTAGAAACGCATTTTCTAAATTCAAAAACTCAGCACTTGAAACGGGCTTTCATTTTATACACACACCCACAAACACCCTTTGGCTATAACTTAATTAACCAGCTTCCAATTATGGTTTCTCATTTTCCAATCTCAGTTTCCTTTTGTCCTATTTCCACATTCATTTGTGAAGTTTAAAAAGAAACAAACAAAAAGGGTCACCACTCAGATATGAATTTTCAGGATGCATCTCTCCCTCAATTAAACATCTTTGAAGGCACTTTTCATCATGCAACTTTTCAAAGCAATTTTCTCAACGTAATAGATTTAATATTTTCTGCAAGATATGCTTGGGGGAAGAATTGTAAAATGAAAGGTGGTGGTTTTTTTTTAATGCCAAGACAAAAGTTGTTGAAATGACAAATATTTAATACAAATGCACAATCAAAAGATTCTTCTCACCTCCATCCTTTAGGTCTGGTAGGTCGGCCTCTTTTAATTCAAAGTCACTTGGCTTAGGAGACCCTTGAAAATGCTCCTTCAGGATCCAAAACCGTGCTTTCACCATTGTCTACAGCCTGAATGATTAAATAAGAATTTCAGTATTCTGGACTGACTGGCAACTTAATCTTTCCTTTAGTGCAGTGATTCCCTGAAGTTTAGATTCCTAAGCATTTTTTATTCCTGGCTAAAACTGACAGCACCTTTCACTCAGAAACTGACAAAAGTCATAGATTTATTTTCTTAGTTCTAGAACAATAGGTATCCTCATTGCAAGCAGAAGATAACAATTCATATTGCGTGCCCTTCCTTATTCAGACATAACAATCAAGAGGGTCTTTTCCAAGAAATCTATGGTCTCCTCACAACTGCCAGCTGTAGCATGGAATCCCATTGCCTTTCAGTTATGTCCCTACTCATTTATGGGCAAGGTAGGCAGTGATAACTCTAATATTGCTTCAAACCTCATGGGTCATAATGTATATAGCCAAGACAGTCACTTCATTTTTTTCCCCCAAAAGTAAATTTACAACACTAAAGGAAGGGTAGGGAAGCTGTGGCCCTGCAGATGTTGCTCAACCATAATTTGCAGGATTCATACCAGGACCACCGGCAGTCGGACTCCAATAAATTCATATGGGATACTAATTCCACACCCCAATTTAAAGGGTACAGTCATGCCCTCAGTTTGAATCTCATTGTTCCAGTTAAGACCAGTATTAAAAGTTGATCCCGTATACTCAGCTAGGATGTACTAGAACTTCTGTCCCTTACAAATTCACAGTCAGAGGTAATCAAAAGAAAAGAGGAAATACATTCAATTCCCTGCTTGCATTTGTTATTAGCGGCAGCCTCAGGAACATCAGTTCATTGTCTGCTTTTCCTAGAAAGCAGATGAAAACTCTAATACGTTCACATAACTGCATGCAATTTAGTGCCCAAGGTTGCTTTCTGCTCCATGAAAAGTCACTTTGGTAAAGAAGAATGAGAGAGAAATAAGATGGGAATGCTTTTTTCAAATAGTTCCTCCATGAGCAAGAAAGGGGAAGAAGACTGCCTAGGAGGTAGGTGTTTTGGAGAAGAGTGAAGCTTGTCGAAAAAATGGGTTAGTACCTTCTTTTATTTCTTCTCAGAAATAAAATCCATAAAGTAATCAATTCCAGGCTTTGCAAATAGTTTCCATACATACATACATATATATAAAAATAGATAAATTTAGGTTGTTTGCTTGGAGTAGCATATCGCGTGGCCACAGCTCTGCTTGCTCGCGCTGCTGGATTTCATTTGAACAGCTCAAAGGCCGAAGCAGCGTCCGGGGCCAGCCTGTCCAGCCGCGAGGGGACGACCAGCGCGCGAAGGCTCTGCCGGGCCAGCAAGGTCTGCCCGGAGAGTCAGAAGGAGCTGCTGCTAAGGAGCCTGCAGAAGAGCGGTTCAGACCCGCGTGAAGCGATTCCCCCACAGCTAGAGCAAGAAGGGCAGTTCTTGCAATGGCCACGATCGCAATTCCGTTTTCTACGTCCGCTCCCCAAGATGGATGGAGGGATCATTCGTGAGATCTTCCCCCCCCCTTGGAAATGTCCAGCAACCAGGAAAACACGTTCAAAACTCTGAAAAGGGGGGGGGGGAATAGCTACACGAATCGGCCAACCAGTTGCAGCGCCAGACAGCCCCGAAGCTCCTCCGAGTCCGTCCCCCGGGCGACAAAGCCGGACCTTTGTCTTATGGCTTCTAAAATTAGGAGCTTACAAAACCCAACAGATCTCAATGAAAGATCGCCTGCCTCTCTATCGCTCCAGTTCTCCGCTCGCCCGGATCCCTGCTGCCCGCCCTACTAACCTGCGCGGCAGTTCAGAGCAATCCTACTTGGCAGTTCCCGAAGCGAATGCGCTCCTCTTCCTTTCAGTCACCCGCTCCGTTTGCAAAGGAGCTGGCTCGCAGCCGTTTAAACTCTGGAGCGACGTCTGCTGTGCCTTCGCGAAGCAACACGTCAGAGGTATCCATTGACCAACCTGTTGGGCGAGGCATTCTCTAACTGCACGCTTCCCAACCATTTTTCCAGATGTGCGCATTCTCCCATGTCCCCACTACAAAATTAAAACCTGCCTCTTTTAAACATCAGCTGCATTTACAAACCAGATCGGCTGTGTAGATAAGGCAGCCTTCAAGGCCATTGTGGCCTTTGAAACTCATTCTCAGCAGTAAATAGGCCTTGGGGCATTTCTGACTATTAGCAAAAAGAGGCAACCTGATATTTATGGTCACCGATGTGACTGTAGATCTCTCCAGTGTCCTTCTGAGGTGTCCTATCTGACTTCAATTTCTTAAAAGATTCCTATATTAAAATAGTAATAAATGGAAACCCTGATATGCTGCAAAACACTGAGTCTGCCCCTAGTACAGTATTTTTTCAAGACTGTGTCTAGCTCCCACACAGACTTGACAGGTGTTTTTGGAAAATTATAGATGGATGAGCAAAAATATAAACATGTTACAACTTTGGGAGCTTGGAAAGAGCTTCATCACTGTGTCATCTGGGAAATGGGCATTTTCTGTTTGGTTACCATGATGGGCACTGTCCTTTTGTGAATAACCCTTCCTTTTGCCGTGTGTAATGGAATGTGGGAAAGCCTTGGGAGAATGGGCCCAGAGACGCTGCCTAGGCAATGGACAGATAAGAGACAGCATAGCCCGCAGCTGGAGAGTGGGCAGGGCAAGAGGCTCAGAAGAAACCCTCCCTAATTTCTTGGGCTGTAAAGGAGACAGGGCAGAATTGTACTTTCAGACTTGCAAGATTCTATTAATGTAGCCTTATAGTAGAATTAGCTCATCTGGTTGTGTTTCCTGTCTGGTCTATGTAGTAAGACTGACATCATGATAGTCATTCTGTAAGATAGTCCATAACATGCTCCCACCAACTTTGTAAGTTCCCTACACTATATTTCAAAGGGCTAACTTGATTCTAGTATTGTTAGCACCACCACCACACCTTCTACAAGATCAGAAGTCTCTCTGCATTCTTACAACCTGAGATGAGCTCTGTAAGATTTATTTTTCTGGAATGCTTATCAGAAGATAACTGGATAACGGCTCTTCTTTTTAGGTCTTCTGGATGGAACTAATCTCTGGACTCATGTATGCATACATAAGGTGAAATGACTAAGCCTGCATCATGTGCTCCTTAGAGGTTCAAGCAACTCTTTTGAGCAAGTTACACAAATTAGCAAGTTACACAAACCAGCAGATATTGCCACATTAATCTAACCCCCCACCCCACCCTAAAAAAGCACGGAGGGGGACATGTCATTTTGGAGTCATCCATTAAAGTGGAGTTAGTAGCCAAGTTCTCTGTCTGACTTGATCTCTTGGGGACCACAGCACTACGAATAGGCTAGGAGTGATTGAAGTTGGAACCTACCAACAGAGAGAGGATCGTTACTTGTCCATATAAGTTATTTTGTAACTTAATATTTGGCAGTATTTTAAAAGTGAAGAATATTTGTTATTAAAAGCTCCTCAAAACTCAGGAGTTGGCTTGTATCATTTTTTTCTGGTGTAGCATATCTAGGAGTGTGGAATCGTTCAGCAGAAAGCAAATGTATTTTTTAAAAATAGTGTAAATAAAGCTGGTGCTCCTCAAGCATGGAGATACAAGTTCAGTCCTTGCATTGTCTAAAGCCGTCATGCCCAATCTATGAAGGCCAAAGAATAAAAAGGAATTAGTTTGCTTCTTACGGAAATACACTAAAGCTACACATTCAGAATTTGGAGCAGACACACTGATTGGCTCAGTGGGCCATAATTGCTCAAGAACTTCCAATTGGCAGGTATATTTGGCTCATGTATACATGCTCTACAAAGCATACATTATGCTTAGCCAAAGGCAAAGAAGGTAATTTAAGGTTTTCAGTTGAGAGGGTGTGTTATTGTACAGGTCTCTGAGGAAGCTGAAGGACATTTGTCTAGGATAAGAGTCATTCATGTTGATTCCAGATTTAATGACACTTGAATATCCACTTGTGCTTGCAATAGGGCTTACCAAGCATGAACCAGCCCGTTCATGAACACAAAGTGGATTATGGTACTGTGACTGTATCACAATTCAGTGATCATACTGTTAGGCAAGTAGGCATTAATTGCTGTGTGTTGGAGAACAGGAATAACATTGAAGATCTTCACAGCTTAATTTAAAAAATGCTTTGCTTCAGTTTTACTAACTTTCCACCGGTTCAAACATTATAAATTCTTAAAATGTGTAACTACTCCCAAAGCAACGAACACTAAACTACAAAAGTAAAAACTTTATAAAGCAATCAATTAACCACAGTGGAAAACAGCAAAGACTAAAAAATAAAAAATAAAAAATCAAGAATGCTTTAAGCTACTTTATTTTGGGTGGTATTGTATTAGAACTGGATTAGAACTGATGGTAGCAGCAGATGAAAAAATTTAAAATAAGGGTTAAAAGAGGGAGTTAACACATCTCTAGCTCTTTGGTGGTAAACAATACAGTACCTGGAACTGTTTGGAATGGAAAATGTAGCAACAGCCATAAACTGCAATGGAGCCAGAGAATTCCTTTCAAAATATTGCCTTCAGCTTAATCAACACATTAAACATGAACTGAAATATACCCTTAACATAGGTTTGCTGCCTTTCAAAACTGAAAAAAGTTAATTTTGGGAAAGCAGAATTTCCACCCACATCTAAACATTCTCTTCCAAAATATGCTTTAGTTGTTTCCATAGGCCCCTGCTTTAGAATTCCTTGGAAAAATTATTCCCATGACACTAACATGCATAAGCATTTGCTTGACTTCTTTATATTCTTCCCAGTATTAACACAGGAATTGCCCCCCCCCCAATTAAAAAGTTTAATGAGCTTTCTACAGTGAATCCTGAGATCTGGAAGGAAGTGGGAAATTAAGACAATATTTTAGGGACTATCTAGTCCAGGGTTCCCCAAAGTGGTCAATATTGACCCCCAAGGGTTGATGGGAATATCCATGAGGTTATTGTTGTTGTTATTCATAGTACTATTAAAGTAGTATTTATTACATTATTTTCATACAATCAATGTTTGGGGGTCGATGAGCAATTTGAAACTTCATGGAGGGAATCAATGAGCTGAAGAGTTTGGGGACCCTTGATCTAGTCCAACATCATACACTGAAACGCCAGCATAGTGGTAGAGAAAAATACATTTATTGGATCTGTCCTTTTGTCAAAAGAAACTGTATTCATAAAGATACACAAAGAATCTCCCACATTTTATAAATTATTTTGCTTCCCTCTTCCCCACAAAATATTAACTACATAAGAAACACAGCACGCAATCTATTTTTGTACATAGCATCACCTTTTTTTTAAAAACAAACAAACCACAAAATGAAGTGACCACCCTAGCACCTGGACAAAACTCACTGGAAAAAATTATTCGGCAAGCCTCACCTGACAGTGCTGGTGCAACATACAGGAGTACTTTCTGCTGGAATATGCCCTTAGATCCTCCAAATCTGATCAGAGAGAGAAGAACTCCACAGGGGCATTTTGTTCAAGTGGGAACAAACAGCTGACCGAGGCTACCTATCTCCTATTGCATCTGGCAAGGTTTTCCTAAATCGGAGCTGCTGAAAGGCCCAATCCATACTGCACATAGCAAGCAGTGTCACACTCCAGAATCTGAGAGATTCTGTTTCGGATACCTGAGGATCTTGAATGGAATACATGCCAAGGCATAACAGCTAATTTTGATATAGCATTGATGGGTGTGGTTCAGATGACATGCCCAATCATTTATCTTCAGCTGTGAAGACACCTGACAGAATCAGCTAGATCTCTGGCATTGCTTCACATTCAATTAGGTTGTCTGCCCAAAGCATAAAGTATAACTTATTTAAGTAAGTTTGAATATGCTTATTCAAGGGTTATTTTACCTCCTTCCCATGCTTTTTTGGGGCTAGCAAGGGGTGATCATACAACAGCCTTAAATGATCCAGTAGAGATATGGTGAGGAGAAGCCAGTCAAGCAAATCTGTATCTAACCTTAAGCTACATTGGTCATGTCCTCTAAACACTGGCATGTTTTTTTGCTGTGGAGGCATTGTACAAGTTTGTTGCTTATGCTGTGTTGCTAAGCATCACTGCAGAAGTTTGATTTGGCTTGTGCTCACAAGCAGGGTTCCTCAACCTTGGCAACTTTAAGACGGGTGGACTTCAACTCCCAGAATTCC